AATCCAAGAAAATGCATTCAGCACCTTCGGATAAGGAAGGGGGACTTCCGGTTTGTGGCTTCAGCGATGGCGGAGGCTCTCTCCTGAACAGGGGAGGCATTCCGCGCTCCAGGGGTGTTGGAGGGGTGCCACCTCAAGTGGCACCCCCAGGTGAGCCTCAGTAAGGAATTGAGGCGCTCTTTCTTGCCCCAATCGGTCCACCCCCCGAGAGGCTCGGTTTTTACCGAGCATAGCTGATGCCAATCGGAACAAGCAAGAAGGTGAGCGAATGAAACGCGATTAAAAGGTGTCTGTGATCAGACCGTCAATGAACCGGAGAGCGAGGCGAGCGAAAAAGTTTTAAAAGTGAGTTCTGATTCCCCCCCCCTACCTTCAGCGGCGTCGGGAGAAATCCCGGACGTAAACAAACGGAACTGTGTTCTAAAAGAGACGGGGGGAGGAGAACAGAAAGCACTCAAGTGTGCTAGAGACTTAACTGCTTTTACGGATAAGTTTTACACTTGCTGAAGAAGTGTGAAAAAAGCACTCTTTAGTGTAAACAAAGCGGAAAATGGCCAGCGTCCGAGGAAAAGGAATAAAAATGGGGTGAGGCTCTCAGAGTCTGAGGGTAGAAGAAGGAGATGTTTTCTCCGCACTATCAGAGCTACTCCGGCCCATAAATGAAAGGCTCGATGGTCTTAACCAGTTAATGGCTGCATCGAACCAAAGTATGGCAAAGCAACAGCAACAGATCACCGAGCTTGTGAAGAAATCGATCCAAACTGACGAAAAGCTTAAAGAAACAGCACACGATGCTAAAAAATTGAAGAAAAAAAGTTGGTTTGATGGAACAAAAGCAGGATTTGCAAGAGAGGAAGCTATTGAACCTTCAAATGGAAAAAGCAAACATTTTCTGTCTGACCTCAAATGGAACGTCTTTTAGGACCCTGATAGTTGCTGATCCCAATTGTAGGGGTTTGGTTGCTGTCGCTTTGAGAATATCATCTCTTGTCTGTCGTCGGAGAAATTTGATCACAATCTCACCCGGCAGGTTGTTTCGCTTGATATATTTAGAGTAAGACCGATATGTCACTTCGATCTCTGCATGTGCTTCTGCCGGTGAACTGCCGAGCGATAAGGCGATTAGCTCAGCTGCTACATCTTTCAAAATTTCTCCTGCCGTTTCAGTCACCCCTTGGAATCTGAGAGTTTTGTTTGCTTTTTCCATTTGAAGGTTCAATAGCTTCCTCTCTTGCAAATCCTGCTTTTGTTCCATCAAATCAAATTTTTTGTGATCAAATTTCTCCGACGACAGACAAGAGATGATATTCTCAAAGCGACAGCAATCAAACCCCTACAATTGGGATCATGGATTGTAGATCTAATCCACCTATGTTACCTACTCGCCAAACAGCCATTTCCTGGCCCTATCAGGGCTCATTCTACCAGGGCTGTCGCGACTTCCACTGCCTTCCTCCAGGGAGTACCACTGCAAGATATTTGCAAAGCCGCCACGTAGGCCACGCCTAACACCTTCATCAGGCACTACGCCCTAGACGTCTGTACCACCACCAGTAACAACATGGGGCGTCACGTTTTGTCTTCGGCTACGTAGTAAAAGGCCTGCTAGCACCCTCCTCCAGGTAGGCTACTGCTCGCTAATCTCCCATTGGTGTGAAGCACAGAGACCACGACGAAGATAAGCAGGTTGCTTACCAGTAACTGGTGATCTTTGAGTGGTCATCTGTGCATTCACACCACCCGCCCTCCTTCCCCGCTGCTGTCAGCTTCTACATTTTTGAATAGGGTTGATTTGCAGTGGTTTGTAGGAACTGGCGGGATGTCTGCACCCACCTCCTCTGGGCATGCGCAGTGGGGTTCCTGCGCATGCCCGGGGGGGGTTGGGCGCTAAAATCTGTTAAAGCACTGCTACAGCACTGATTGATCCAGCGCGTGCGCACTAGATCCCATTGGTGTGAATGCACAGATGACCACTCAAAGATCACCAGTTACTGGTAAGCAACCTGCTTATCTGCTAGAAGAACAGTGTTTTCCTTTCTGAGTATGCTGTCTTGCCTGTTAAGTATCCTGTGAGAAGTGATTTAATGTTCTATATAAATTTAGCTGTGTGAACCTGATAGAGAACAAATTGAAAACAATAATAGAGTCAGTTTGATAAGGCTTTCTCTTAAGTCAGTGGCCTACAAGCTGTGAGTTATGAGCACTTGGAGGGATGTTGTCTTGGATGGCAGGTTCAGGGCTGATTGATGGGAAAGTTCTCAATAAGCTCCCATCTGCCACCAGAGAGGTGGATCTCAACACACACAGCCCCTAGTGGTGGGCTTCTGCTGCTCTGCCATTGGAGTGGCAGCAGTGCCAGTGCGTTGAACCAATCCAGTGGCAGCACAGCAGCTATCAAGTAGCATATTTTAATGAGAGACTTTAAAGTGATGGAGAAGATTACTTCTTCCTGAATTCAGCATTGTGTTTGACAAGCATATTATTGGAAGACCAGTGAATAGGGATGTGCAATCGGCTAAATCTGAGCCGGAAAAATACCATATCGTCATTTTTCTGGTATTTATTCAGCCAGATATAGATTTTAGATATAATTCGTCTATCCAAAATGGCCATTTTTGGGAGCGCCAGATAGACAAACGTAAAAGGCATTTAAAGGGACTTAAAGTGGTCCCTTTAAATGGCTTCTCTAAGCCGTGTGACTCAGTGGCAAGTGAACTCGAAGGGCGTTAAAGGGCTCGGAATCTCTTTAAATGCCTTCGGAGTTCTCTAAGCCATGGAGTTGCGCAGCTTGGAGAAGGCATTTAAAGTGACCGTGATCCCTTTAAATGCCTTCCCTCCCTTCATTGAAATCAATGGAGGATGGGGCACCTTCTTTGGGGGCCCATAGAATTGGTCCCCCTGGTCTAATCTTTTGTAAACTTGGGGGGTTTGTTGAGGTAGACGCACCAGCAGCTATGCTGCAAATTTGGTGACTCTACCTCAAAAAGCCCCCCCCCCCCCGATACCCTTGAATCAGTTCTCCATTATACCCTTTGGAGACCATTGACTGTAATGGTTCGAAAGCAAGAAATTGCAAGTAGATAAATAGGTACCACTTAGGTGGGAAGGTAACAGCGTTCCGTGCGCCTGGGTGTTTAGTCATGCCGGTCACATGACCACGGAAACGTCTTCGGACAGCGCTGGCTCTTCGGCTTTGAAACGGAGATGAGCACCGCAACCCTAGAGTCGGATTCGACTGGCTTTCGAGCAAGGGAACCTTTACCTTTACCTAACGGAGGCACGTAACAGCCTGCTAGTGCTTCTCCAGCCTTCTAGAAAAAAATGCAACACACTTATGGTTTGTCTTCATATGAATATTGACTTCACTTTGCATGCGATTTTAAATATGTTGTCTGCTTGACCAAAGGTAACATATCTTTTCCCAATCATACCCTTCATGCCTAAGCTGTGTACCTGTAACTGATGAGAAATGTCATCCTTGCACATTTCTTCATCTTGCTGACCTCCGTGATGCTGTTATTCACTGACATTCATATCTTAAGTACGACTGACACAGTACATGTTGGCAAATGTGTTGCTGTTATCAATATTATAAGGACAGGTTTAGAAAGAAATAGATTCTGAAGAATATTTCCCAGTAGAAAACCGTGGGGTCCTATGGTATTTAAAGACAAACCCAACTTATTTATATCTGATTAATCCCCATTTTTCTACAAAATATCACTTAAAGCATCTTTATCTTGTACATCTTCTCCCTCCCTTTCTCAGTCCCCATAAAAGGGTTTCCGAATTTTCCAGTGCCCGTTCATTAAAAAGGCAAATTGTTATGTACTGCTTATTGATCCCAAGTGTGGTCACTTTGAAATGTCTCATCTGTGTCTTCTAGATCAGGCATTATAAAGGGTAGGGGAAGTCATGGAAGGTCCTGCACATCTGTCTCCTGTGACTTTTTGAAACTGCTGCACTACCTGGTACCTGGAAATGCACATACTTCTGGCTCTCCGTGGAGGCTTAGACATTCATATGCAATAACATTTTTAAGCAGCCAATAGAAATCTAGCATATACTAAAACAGCCAACAGGCCAACAACATCATGCTTCCAAAAACATACTTTATTTGTAAGAGCAAAGTCCTTTGCCTTCTAGCAATTTACCATCCAAAGGCCTTCCTTGAATGTAATAGCTGAGGGAACTGGCTTAAGCACTGGAGGGTCACTTTGGAGGGAATTTCAAAGAGAAGAGCTGTCTTGCAGATGGCCTATCCCTTTATTGTTCTGGTTCTGCTCCCACAAACAAGGGAATGAGAAATAAGGCCTCCTCTACAGCAAAAATCATATGAGGGGGAGGGGTGTAAATGCAATGCTAGGTTTCTTCTGTTTAACACACTTGGAGCACAAATGCTGCATAAAGGAGATGAATTGTTGTGTGTATTGTTCATGACGTTGAGCATAGTACAGAAAAGCAGTATGAATTTCTAAATAAGAAAATGAGTGGCAGCATCTGTTAATGTGTTCTATATTAGCAAGGATGAGGATCAGTCTTGAACTTCGACAGTCGTGCTTCTTTGAAAACTTTATGTGCTAGAATTGCATGTTCTCATGTTGTGTATTTACATTTATGTAGCTGAGAAATGGGATCCTGGTCTTCTGTAACACGACAGACTGTGGTTTGCCTTTGTTTTCTGGGGGGCGCGGGAGATTTATCATCTAACAACTTCCAGTCTGTTGTTTGAATTCTGTAACCATAGCAGTGTTTATTTTGGGCATGTCCACATTGACCAAAACTTGTGCACCCAGTTCATCTTGCTGCAGGGCCAGTCAGACCTGTTTGGTCAGCGTTACAGTCTCTAGTGTTGATGGGAAAGTATTTGTAGATGCTAAAGTGGATTGGACATCCTCTGGACCTGCTTTCATTTTTTCTGCAGAAGTGCACTGAACAAACTATTTTGTTTTTGTATGCTTACAATTACCCTTGCTACAGCAGTCTTTTTTTCTTCTCAGACTCAGTTTCTGATCCAGGAGTGCGCGTCACTGATTACGAAACCAAACTTTATTTCGACACTGTCCTATGCTATTGAAAACCCTTTGCACTATCAGAAGGTTTGTATGCATTTCATATGGGACTGTTGATATGTGAGAGCGTAAATGAAAAATCCTGAAATGTGACAGCGACTGCATTGAGCTAACTGGCCAAAATGCAAAGGGGGCATTCATTAAGCGTTGGAAGTGTCCTTGTAAAGGGGGCATTCATTAAGCGTTGGAAGTGTCCTTGGTCTCTGGAGAGTTGAGAACTGTGACTGGATATGGAGGTTACTGAAGCTCATAGGTATCACTTTTGTTCAGTTTTTAGTCCCAACGACAAAAGGTCAGAGTGTTAAGTCACTACATTAAAGCATAAAACCAACCAGTTCAAACAGAATACATCCTTACACTTCACCGTTGTGCCCCTGGCCATGATATGGTAGCTGAGGCATTCCATTGTTAAGGGTATCCACTGGAGAGTCCACCTCTGCACTCCCACCTAGTCCCAACTTTATGCATGAATTCTAAATTTTAGAGGCTTCTCTTAACTGTTCTTGAAAGATCCCCATATGGGATAATTTCTTGCAAGTGGGTTTTTAAGGTATGTTGAGTCTAAGTGAGTTCCAGCGTTATAGGTCATTCATACCTAGCACTTTGAATTGTGCCTAGAGGGCTGTTGTGAGTTTAGTGATACTTCAAGTGCCTGATGTAACAAATGTCTGATGAACTGACCTTTCAGGAAGTAGTTTACTGTCTTCAGTATCAGCTGAAAAGTAGTGTGCCCTCCTTCTGGTTACTAGGTCAGTGGGATCAAGATCGATCAGGGTACGTGCTTCCAGCCCCCAACCATGACAGTGTAGTGGAAAAACTGTGAGGTGGAATAGAAAAGACAGAGCCATTTCACCAGGGTGTTGATAGCATTAGATTTCATGCTGCTGAATGATTTTGCCAAAGAACCTCATAATACAGGTTGTGAAGAAGCATCCTTTTTTCAGTTCCTGGGCAACTTTGGTGCCACTGCAGACAGGGAATTTGTGCAGCCAAGTGGTTGGTATACCAACAGCCATCTAAGTTTGGGAGCAGCAGAGTAAAAGTATTGTGGATGAGTTTTCTCAGCCCATCCTGGCCTTCAGGCTTCATTGCAAGTGTCCAGAGCTGTATGTTGTATCTTCTGTAAAGCTGATTTTACAGAACTGCTCTCTCCCAACTTCTGTCATCTCTTTTCAAACCTTCACTGCTACAGTAATGAGGTGCCAGTTGGACTAGTACTGTTGCAGACCTTTCAGCCAGGTCAGTGAGTCATCGATATAAAGATTGCAAATGGTAGACACTTGGTGGACCACCAAGACAGGAACAGCTCAGTACTTGAACTCCTAAATGGGAGCCAAGACACAGGGCCATGAGAGAGCCATGCTAAGTCTGAGTGGTTCTCATATACCTTTCTGTTGTAATTCCAAAAAAACAAACAAACCAGAGACATTGTATGTTGGCTTGGAAGAATGCTGTCAGTTTGGGAACAGATGTTTGAAAGACGATGGGACATACTGCTGATAAGATGCAGGCTCTTTTAATTGTTCTGTAGAGATAATCTGTTGCGGAGCCATTCATTTTCTGGGATTGTCTGCTTCCTTGTTATGCAGTGCACTGTGTTAGATTTTGAACTTCAGCTCATGTGCCCTCTTTTCTTTCTTTTCAGAGTCTTAAGCCATCACCTCATCTATTCACTCAGCTAAGCAAAGTTATCAAATTAAGCAAGGTTCAAGAGGTGGGTTAATTATTTCCATATTAACACTCTTTAAGTATTTGTCCAGGGACTGGCAACTTGGCAGTCCTGTGGGTGGAATCTGATCTAGCAGTGCTGCTGAGATGAGAGTGTTCTCACCAGTTGAAATAAGGCATGGTGCCAGTGGGCACAAATTCCCCTTGGTTTTCATCCATGCTTCCATCCTAACTTCTCACACATTGCTAGCCTGTCTGGTGTGAACCTGGGTATCTTCTGATTGACACCTGTGCTATGATCATCACCCTCCAAATCCAGGGTCCCCAACCTTTTTCAGGCTTTGGGCACTTTGGAATTACAAGTGGCTTCTGCAAGAGGCAGAGCCGGATTCAGAATAGCTTCTGCAGGAGGTGGAGCCAAACACAACACATCCCTCCTTACTTTGCAGAAGATTCGCCAAAGGGGGATAAAAAGAAACAAAGGAAAGCTCAGATGGGGAGTGGGAGGGAGTGAGGGAGGGGAAGAAGATACAAGAAAGGGGAATAAGGGGGAAAGCCTAAAGAGTCCTGAGTGCTTTCTGGGACTCTTGATTATCCAATGGCTGCAGTCGCAACTGTGGAAAAACCCTTTCATTTGAATGAGGTCAGCCAGTAATAAGCCCTGTCTTACAGTGACCTCATCCACTTTCTGAGCATTTCAGCGGGTAGTGGGGGAAGTACTGGAGGGTGCCATGGTGCCCATAGGCACCATGTTGGGGAACCCTGGTCTAAATCTTGATATTTTCGATTAGCAGTCTCACTTGCTGCTTGATACTAGAGGAGGACTGGGGCAGGTGACTAGGTGGTGGTCCCATGATGTCCAGTACTTCTAGCTAAATCTATGTACTGGCTACTGACCCCTATATTATGAATGTACAACTGTGCTGTTAATTTTTTTCCCCTAATTTTGCATAGGTCATTTTTGGTCTTGCGTTGCTGAACTCTTTCAATCCAGATCTACGAGGTTTTGGTAAGAGAAATTGGTACCGGTCTGTGTATGCATGCAGTAGCAGTAGGACTTAGTAACTGGAGCTCTCTTCTGTGTTGCCACTTATATGAAAATCAGAATGTTCATCATGAACCCAGAATTAGAGGGCTACATCCTCAGACCTGAGAAACCTGCCTCGGCCTCAATGACCCAGAGAATGATCACGTTTTATAATACTGTTCTAATGATTACATGATGTAATTCTGTTCATGTAGCTAAACAATCTTTTCCTGGGCATGCATGAACCCTGTATATACTGCCCTGAGCTCCTTGAAGGAAGAGTGGAATACAGATTTTAACTAACTGGAGCACACAGCTTTCTCCACCTGACACTCTGAAATCAGTTAGAAATCAGGAAACACCCCCTCCCGCTGTTAGCATTCTGCTTAGCGTATTTTCTGCCCATGCGTTCATCTGTGAACTGGATGTATTGATCCAGAATCTTTCTTTCCCACTTAAATGAGGGGCCTTTGAACTTGTTTGGTTCAGAGAATAATTCCCTAACCTTGAATTTCCTGAACCAACATGTGGGTATCAGGTTGAAAGCACTGCCTTGGTATGAGAGGTTAATTGTGGCACAGTGCAGGATGTGGATGTGGTGTAGCTGGATCAGGGTGAATGTGCAAACAAGATTCAAGTAGAGTCAGTATGGAACAAGTAAAAGAAGCAATTTATAAGCACACTCAAGGAGCTTCAGGCCAGCCTGTTGGCAGCCTCTTCTGGCTTCTTTCTGAAGGGGTGTGTTGGAGATTGGAGCTAAGTCAGGGAGTTCAAGTGCTCTCAGATCAGCTTGTATTCTAAGGCAGGGTGGAGCTGCAGTCTCTTGACAGGCTGTTCTTGGCATGTAACTGTTGTTGCTGTGCCAAACTACTATATGCTGATAAGAGCAGTGAGCATGTGCAGTTTAGACAAGCCATAGAATTTATTTATTTTTATTTTTTAAAAGCAATTCAATTCAGTTAACTATTGGTTTCCTTTCTTTAAAAAAAAATAGCGGCTCAGTTTATTAAACAGAAGCTTCCGGATCTTCTGCGTTCATACATTGACGCAGACGTTGGTGGAAATCAAGAAGGTGGCTTCCAGGACATCGCAATAGAGATCTTGCACCTCCTCCTTTCCCATCTTCTTTTTGGGCAGAAGGGAGCCTTTGGGGTTGGACAAGAACAGATTGACGCTTTTCTCAAAACCTTACGTAGAGGTAAGTATTATATTTACTGTGCTTTTTTAAAGCCCAGCTTCAAAAATTAGGGATTTTTGTGTGAGTAAACTTACTGGTGGGAATCCAGAAGGTAAAAAGTGAAGTGTTGTGGCTTTGCAAAGAAAACTGCTAAAGAGATTGCCCGTTTCTACATGTATATGGCTACATGTCTTTGTTGGAGTTTCTACAAGGATCCTGTTCTTTCGATACAGGCTTCAATCTAGTGATGGGCAAGTGGAAACCTAAATGGACTTAGTGCCATTCTGCTTGCACAAGGTCTTATGCAACATCTATCATTTACCTCCCTACATATAATAGTGCCCAGAAATTGGTTGTGAAAGGTGTTATGCAAACAGAAACGCATCCAGAGTATCACTGAAATATTTTGGAGGGTGTAATAGAGGCATTCCCATTTTTGAGGCCAAGCCGCTGCATCTATGTAAGTTTTGAGGAAAGGAGCAGGTATTGTTTGCATACTGCTGTATCCAGACCACCTGGTAAGCAGGTGGTGGTAATGGCCAGGAGTGCCTTTCACTAGCTTTGGCCTGCTCCGAGATCTGGGTCCTTTGTTACACGCCCTAGACTTCTGCGATTGATGCATTTTGTGTGGGACTGTCCTTGAAAAGTGTGTGGAAGCTACAGTTGGCACATAACTTTGCAGCCAGAACATTTACTGGAGTGGGTTATAGAGACCATATTATTGATGTCCTGTTCCACCTGCAGTGGCCCCCAGTTTGCTTCGAAGCCCAATTCAGGGTGCTGGTGTTGACCTTTAAAGCCCTTATACAGCTTAGGTCCAGCATATTTTAAAGATGACTCCCATCTGAACCCATCATGCCATTGATGTCATCTTCAGAAGTCCTGCTTTGGGCAACCCCACCATCTGCAGCTAGATGGGTGGCAGCCCAAGAACAAGCCTTTTTGGTTGTGACACATTGCTATGAAATTCCTTCTACAAGGGGATTTTCCTGTTTTTGTGTTTTGTTTAATTGTTGCATTGTTTTATACATTTTTTTAAAAGCTTGCTGTTATTGATTTTGTTTGCTGCCTTAGGGGCCCTAACTTGGATGGAAAGGCATCATAAAATGTTAGAGATTGAGGAGTAGAGTTTACAGTACCTCTGGGAAATAGTGAGACATTAGGAGGCAATGACACTGTTATATGTATTAATGATACTCGAGGCTGTTCGGGGCTCCTCACCTTGTGAATTTGCTTTTTTGAACTTTCTGCTTCATTGGGCTTGCTAGTGGGTGTGCTGAGGTGCATAGTTCTGGAGAGTGACCTGCCTTTTGAACAGCTGTCCTGTTGGCATGTGACTGTATCTGGTACTAGTGGTGTGCAAAAAAGAACCCCAATATTTGTCTTCTCGGGTCTATTGGACCCCCAAAATTTCAGTAGTTCTGAAAAATCCCGAGTCCCAATACCAGGATCTAGGGTTTTTTTTGAAATCCCGAAAAAAAATTTGATCCAATAGACCCAAGAAGAAAAATACCTTGGCTTCTCTTGCAGCACAGTTTAAACCGTGCTGCAGGAGAAACTGGCCCCAGGATTTGTGTGCAACGGGCAGTACAGACCGGGCCGTGAGGGCTTCACCTGTGGTGCGGTTTAAACTGTGCTGCAGAAGATGCTGGCCCCAAGATCGGTGTGTGGCGGGGAGGCAAGAGAGGTTCAGCTGGGGCGGTGGGAGCTGAGCACTCTGTGCCACCTCAGCTGGGGCTGGCTCCTCTTGCAGCTCAGTTTAAACCATCACAAATAAGAACAAACCGTGACAGACTAACTAATAATAATTACTTCCAAAAGTATTTTGGTAATTTTATATAATTTCCACATAAATAGTGCAAAATATGCCAAGTTATTCAGTGTGTAGCATAGAAAAATACAATCTCAATTTGGTATTTAAACCAAGCTGCAAGAGGAGCCCATCAGCCATTTGGTGTAGCTGAATATACCCAAATAAAAGCCAAAAAACAATTAGCTTTATTCAGGTTCAGCTATACAAGTAACTGATCAGATTCTCTGATCTGTATTTGGCTGAAATAATACCCAGGAAATACCGGTAAGGTATTTTTCAGGTATTTGTTTTGGCTTGGTTTATGCCAAATGCACACCCCTATCTGGCACTAACATTACATTCCAAAATTATTGGAGTTGAGCAGAAGTATGGTTGTAGGAGAGAATCTTGTTCAGCAAGCTTTGGGGAGCTGACCTGCTAGCCTATCACTTCAGGATAACCATCTAAAACATTCACCATGTGGAGTAACCTTGATATAAAACAATGCAGAATAATTGCTAGCCGAGGGGAGTTAAAATGAGTTGAAGCCGGTTTCATTAGAGCGTCTTAACAACCAGCATCCTGGAGGAAAAATGGAAGTGCCCTCTAAAGAAGAAATGATAAACAAAATGCTTGAGACTGCAGAGATGGATAAACTAACTTTAATTTTGAGAGGACGAGATGAAAGAAGCTTCGAAAATACACTTTACTACTCGTCAGGAGTGTGTTACATACATACATACATATTTGATTTATAATATGTTGCTTTATAATATGATAAAAAGCATGAAGGGGGGGGTCTGTGTTTCCTTGATTACTGTGAAATACTAAAAGTGCTCTGGGCTTTTAGATTTTCCCCAGGAACGCTGCCCTGTGGTGCTTGCACCACTCCTCTACCCTGAAAAACGGGACATTCTAATGGACAGGATCCTGCCTGATTCTGGAGGGATTGCAAAAACAATGATGGAGAGTTCTCTTGCAGACTTCATGCAGGAAGTTGGCTATGGTTTTTGTGCAAGGTATGTGGGTAATTTCACCGAGAATCAGGCTTAATAATGAAAACCTTAAAGCACCGGATGGCTTTGTCCTTTGAAAGAATGTGTGGTGGTGGTGGGGATATGTTGAAGGGCAGGGCTGTCAGGAGTTCCGTGGCAGCATCTTCCAATATGAACTGGCCATGAAGCTTAAAAAATTATCAGTCATGTAACCTTCATTTTACACAGTGGGGTTTAGTATTGTTGCTGAGTGCAGAGCTTCTAATGAGAAGTACTGGAAGAGACATCCATTGGTAATATTACTTAAAATTGGCTCATGTTGTGTGAAACAGTTGCACACCAGTGTACCTTGTCTTTTCAGCGTGGAAGAATGTCGCAACATCATCACTCAGTTTGGTGTCGGGGAGGTTACAGCTGCCCAGGTGGCCAGGGTTTTGGGAATGATGGCTCGAACGCACTCAGGATTGGCAGATGGTATTCCATTACAGGTGAGTGGCTGAAGTGGTCAGTGGTGCTGTGTGATGTAACTGGAAATCTAGTCGAATACATTTTTTTGAGTATGGAGATTTTGCAATTCTAGCTCTGCATGTTTAGTTGCCTTGATTTAAACAAAAATTGAGTAGGTGACTTGACTGGTCCCTGAAGCTCCCATTTGGAACCCCCATGGCATTGGATGCTAAGATGTTCACGTTATGAGCTACTGTGTTGAGATGGCTGCACTGGGCAGAAGTTGCTCCCAGTGGTAAGACTTGATGCTGCTGTCATAGCTGGGTGTTGGTTCTCTTAGGCCGCCTACCGCCACACAGGCAGCTGCTAAAATGTGCCAGTTGTATGCAATCATATTTTTTTGGGGGGGGGGGTTGGAAGCATGCCCACCCCTGAGCCATTTGTTATTTTCTGGGGCAGTCCCCAGAACCCCCTGCCTGGCAACTGCTGGGTGTTTTGTGTTTTTTACCCTGCCTGTAGAAGTTCATTTCACTTAAAAAGGATCTTAGCAGAGCTGCTGAGAACCTCTCACTAGAAGCTTCACCATATCAGGCAACTCTCTAGACTTGATTATACATGTATTAAATAGACAATTTTGGATCTGATAGTTGAAGGACCTGCATTCATCTCATGACACTGCTCATGGGGTAAGAACAGGGCTTTTAAAAAAAGAAGTAGTAGTAGTGTGGGAACTCTCAAGAGGAAAATGAAGTTTTCAGTCTGTTTCTAATGCCTTGTTGTGTGCAGTATTAAGAGAGGCTAGGTTAGTCAGCACATGGAGCAGGGCATTTTTTTGTGGTGGCTCACAACTTTTGGGATTTCTTACCCTAAGAAGATTGCCACGCCCTCACTTCAGGCCTAGAAGCTGCTGAAATCTGTTTCATTCCAGGAGGCACTTGATTTTTATCACTAGACCCAGTTTTTGTTTGTTGGTTTACTGTACTTTGAATATGGCTTTAAGGTGTTATTATTTTGATGGTAGTTATATCGAAGTGCTGTTTGCAGTTCTATGGATTAGCTCCTGTTTTATGAACTCCTAACTGATCACTTTTATATAATTGCTTTGTGTTTTTTCTTGTATTACTGCTGCTGCTAAATTTGCTTTATTGTTTGGTGTTGTGTGGGTCAGCAAAAAGGTGGGACATAGATATTCGATTCCTTTGGTTTATTTGTGTTTTCCCAATATAATTATGTATAAACTTGTAAATGTCCTGATAAAAATATAGTTTAAAAACTATGGTTTGGTTAAGGCACATGTGGACATAGCTGGCAGTCCGCTTGCAGTCCATCTTCAGTGTTTCCCTCTGCTGTGATCAGAGACTCTAGGACTGTCTAACAGTAAGCTGCAGGCCACAAGAGCAGTAAAAAGTAAGAGCAAAATGCTAACTCTGCTGTTCCAGTTGCACTTGTTTCCTGATTTCCTCTGTCAGTTTGTACATTATCTGATGTTACTGGAAATAATCTGAACTTGTGCCTACCTGTTTAATTTGCAGTCCATCTCAGCTCCTGGTAGTGGAATTTGGAGTGATGGAAGAGATAAAAATGATGGAACGCAGACTCATTCGTGGAATGTAGAGGTTCTGATTGATGTGCTTAAAGAACTGGTATGTTGATCTTGTTGTGTGACCCTTCTGAAAAAAATGCCATCATGTCAGAAGCCAAGGGCTGCTTCATAAGTGGTAGATTTCCTACAAAGATGTTACTGCTACTGCTGTTTTTTTAATCCCACCATTCTTTTGAGAAACTCAGAGGAAAGCATGATTGCTTGCTGCCTTCCCTTGCTGTTTTACCCTCTCAGCAGTCTTATGGGGTAGGCTAGGCAGAGAGAGAGAGAGAGAGAGAGAGAGAGAGAGAGAGTGATTGCCCAACAGTCACTTCCTGAAATTCATTGAACTTCATGAAATAGGGGCATTTGAATCTAGGCCACTTGTACAGTACACCCACTGTAACACCTTCTCTTGACATTGATTATTTTAGAACTAGAAATCAGAAAATTCAGCCATCTTAAATGGCTTGCTTGCCCTTATTCTTCTTCATTACTGGAGAAGGTGAAGGCTGTTCCCTCCCCCTCTGAGGATAGAACAATGTGAAAAAAATTTGAGCCTCCCCCTTTGATTGAAAATGGCCCCACCCTGAATATGTTGATTCCTGGAGAAATCACTGGGAATGTATCAGAGTGGTGTTATCTTTTATGATCTTTGCAGAACCCAAGTTTGAACTTCAAGGAAGTAACCTATGAACTAGATCACCCTGGATTTCAAGTTCGTGATAGTAAAGGCTTGCAGATTGTGGTGTATGGTGTCCAGAGAGGGCTAGGACTTGAAGTCTTTCCAGTTGACCTCATCTACAGACCTTGGAAACATGCAGAAGGCCAGGTAAATGTGTAGTGTGAAAACATGTAGGTTTTCTGTCTTTTTTTGCCTTGCTTAACGTAATGAATTAATACTTAATGTATTGGCCTTCAGCCTCTAGTGTAGCAGGTGCTGGTTCTTAAGTTTTGGATTTCATCTTTTCAGTTCTTGGTGCCTACAAACATTTTTCAAAGATCCTTTATTCGTTGCTGCTGTTTAAGAATACAAGCTGAAGATTATGGGTTGCCGTGTTAAACCTGTCACAGCAGGAGTGAATCTAAATGCTTTTAAGAAATTATAGGGGGGAATGAATCCAATAATACTGGGAAAGAGGCAATTGCTTGGTTTGGGTGAGGACCATGTAACATGGCTAAAGAGTTTGAAATGACTCTTCCAATGATGTCATTCTGTTGCAGCTCTCATTCATCCAACATTCCCTCATTAACCCGGAGATCTTCTGTTTTGCTGACTACCCCTGTCATACCGTTGCCACAGATATCTTGAAAGCACCACCTGAGGATGACAATCGAGAAATTGCCACATGGTAACCAGCACGATTCCCCCCCCCCCCCCCTGGAGCAAAAACTGACTTCAGAATGCTGCAAAAGCAAAGTATTGTTCAGGGTTGCTCTTAGTTTTTCAGTCAGCCTTTATTAAGAAGTGTATAAGTCACTTAGTGTTTCTGATGTGCAAGAACGGTGTATGACGGCCACATATGGCCATCTAGTTCAATGGAGGGAAGTTGCTATGGACATAATGCATTTGGTAGTCTGTGTTCCCTCTAAGCTGAGTTCGGGTGACCTAGCTCACAGTTTTTTAGCCTCTGGCTCACACATTTTTGTCAGTTCAGGAAGTATGATTCCAGAGCAAACTAATTTATGCAGTAGCCAAATCACCTGCTCACAACTTTAATGCAAGTAGCTCACAAAGTAGAATTTTTGCTCACAGGACTCCATAGCTTAGAAGGAGCATTGATCACCAGTAATGTCATCCCCTGTGTGTAGTAGGACAAACAGCCATGACACTTCTGGTGATGCTTCTTTTCTGAATTGTGGGTCGGGTGATGTGTGGATGGGGTGGATGCTCCTGCTAGTAATTATAAGAGTTAAATATGTGAAGCCATTGAATTGTTCATTCTTTCTGGTTGTGGGCACACTCACAGGTTAGAATACCGTGCAGTATGTGTGAGAGTGACTCATGTGGCCCTTCAGCCACTCTTCTGATTTCCCGGTGGTTCTCTGACCATGCTTCCTAACATTTTACAGGAAAAACGTTCTTGCATGCATACCTTTAGAAGGCACACATAGCTTATGTAACTCGTTTGATAACCGTGTTAGCCAGGTCCAGTGTAGGTATCGAGCAGGGGTTCGGTCAGCCAGCTAACCTGGCCGGGTTTCTTCCTTTTCGCTAGGAAGAGCCTGGACTTGATAGAGTCATTGTTGCGGTTGGCAGAGGTGGGACAGTATGAACAGGTCAAGCAGCTCTTCAGCTTCCCTATCAAGCACTGTCCAGATATGTTGGTATTGGCCTTACTTCAGATCAACACTTCCTGGCACACTTTGCGGCATGAACTAATCTCCACACTAATGCCCATTTTCCTTGGCAACCATCCTAATTCTGCCATCATCTTGCATTATGCATGGCATGGACAGGTAAGTGCATTTATACGTGAGATCTTTCTTTGGCAGCAGAGGCAGCCTTCACCCTTCCTTGTAATGTTTTCTTTGTCTCTACACTGTGCTTTGGACACAGGGTGGGATGCAAATGTATTTAATGTTAATTCCTTTGTCACCACCACTTTTGGGGTTGTTATCCTGAACTAGATAGGAGACAGCCAACGGTAAAAAATAATAATCTTGCTTTTATGTAAATAGGTAGTTTAAAAAAATAAAGACCCCCCCAATAACACAGAATGAAGTAACAAACTAGTTTTTCAAAGGAAAAAATACAGCACTGGCTACACAGAGTTTGGAAAAACATTCCCCAAGACTGTAAAAACACCACAAAAACATCATGCAATTCAAATATTTAACTATAACTGGCTGTGGTTTTTTGTGTTTCATATGGAAGGGTGCCTTAAGGCTAAGATTAGCCGGCAGTAGTATTTAACAACTGTGAGGTGTTGGGAGTGACTGACCAAAGCTTTGCAGTTCATCAGCAAAACCTGGCTGTGTTTTTCACCTGACTCAGAAACAGTGAAAGCAATATGGTGTCACTGCCTGGGATCTGTAGAGAAATAACAGGGGGGAAACTAAATGAGGGGGAGACTGGCAGTTGCTGTTTCCCCTGCTGCATTTCCCTGGTAGGCATAGTATGGCGGTGGCATGGACATCTTTTGTGCCAGAACAGGAGAGTACATGCCTTCAGTGTTCCTGGATTAGATAAAAACAGAGCTGGGCTTCATTGGGGTGTGCTCCACTGAGCTTCCTGGTTACAAAAATGGCAGCACTGTTCCACTTGTCATGTGTTTGCGTGTTTGTCTCTTGAACTGGGGGATAACTGCTGCTCACCCCTGAGGATCAGTAAACTACATAGATTGTTGGGCACAAATTCTTCTGAAAGTGGAGTGATTTGCCGTTTAAAGAGGAATATATACATTGTTTCTAAATTATTGATTGGAATCAGTATTGGGGTAGAAATTTACCTTCCTCCCCTGTCAGCCATATGTTAAAAGAAAATTCCCAAGATTCACTCTGTAGAGAAGAAATCACTTGTTTGTGAACCTTGGATTTTCTTTTGACATATGACTGACATGGGTAGTAAGGACTTGAGCCCATGGGGCTGCGGGTTCAGTCCCTGCCATCCCCACGTCATGAGAGAGAGAAGTGCTATATAAGTGTTTGCCTTCATTCTTTCCGTAATTCTTTTGACTGTTGTGGGGAGAAGAACGAGTGGGGCAGTGCCTTCTCCTTGCTTTCTGTTCCCCAGAGTTAGTTCGTTAACTGAATTGGTGGTGGATTTGTGGTGCTCCCTATACAAGGAGTCTTGGTTCAGAGAAATGAAGGCAGTACTGTCATCCTAGCTGTTGGGGTGCAGGGCAGGCTAAGTGCTCTTTAACTGCATTACTGGCTTGGGGTATGGAGAAGCGTGCCTGGCCTCTCGCAGTAGTGGTTGGAAGGACAAGAAGCCAAGAGAAGCCACTGCTGCAAGGTAGAGAAAAGGACTGGGCCAAGCTGGTTTCTTTGGGTTGAGATGGGAGAATTGGAGGGTTTCAGGGCCTGGAGCAGGAAAAAATAGAGTTTGGGCATGAAGAGGCTGCATCCTGTTTCCACCTCAATCCTTCAAATGAAATTGATCTTTAATAACACTTAAATGTATTACCAGATAAATGTAGAAAGGAAGAAAAATATGTTATTTTGTATATAATTACAGCAGCACGTATTTTATTTGCCAAAAATTGGAAACAAGGGGGAATACCCTCAAAGAGATAATTAATTTATAAAATACAGGAAGTGGTTGAAATAGATAAACTGACTACAATACTACAAAATAAGGATGAAGGGTCATTTAATAATAGATGGGGAAATTTTTATAAATGGTTAGGAAAAAATTAAGGTATCAAATGGAAAAGTGTGAGACTCTGTAATGTGATGTTTGGTTGTATAAGATGTGTATTTTTGCATGTTGTAATACATACAGAAAAACTGAAATAAATATAATTACAAAAAAATAAAAATAACACTTAACTTGCTGCCACAGCGAGAGAGCTGCAAGGGAGCTGTCCTGTATTCTCAAAGATGTTCTTTTAAGAGTTAGATCACTTATCCAAGTCCTCAAATTCTGATGGTGATTCCTTTAGGGCCAGTCTCCTTCAATTCGCCAACTCATCATGCATGCAATGGCGGAATGGTATATGAGAGGGGAGCAGTATGATCAGGCCAAATTATCACGTATCCTAGATGTTGCCCAAGACTTGAAGGTGAGTCTGATTTTTGTCTTTTATTAGTGCACATGTGTGTTGACTCCAGTGTTTGCATTGGTGCAGTGCGCTAGGATTTCTTTATCTGGAGTGGGAGAGATAAGGAAAAGGGAAGTAGTGCAAGGCCTATTGGAACAGAACCGTGTGTCTCATTTCCAACTTTTTCTGGAACTGTTATTGCCAAACGAGTTTTAAGCAATATGCAATTGCCAATTGCATGTTTGTGTTTACAAAACAAGTGAGGTACTTGTTTTTACTGCTCTGGGTCAGCTTAATAGATTCTAAGAAGTTTCGCAGTATCACCATGTTGTTTCCATTTATAATGATAATGAGTACAGCGGTATTGTAACTACTAGTCACTTTACTGGGTCAGCCTCCAGATTAAAACTTGAAAGAATTAGTTCAATTTTTAGTAGAAGGAGCACAGTTTCAGCCCTACTGATGCTTGTTTGCTGAAAGCAACTTAGATGTTATTAAATGGTGCCAGCAGCACGTTGGACAGAATGGATATATTCCCAAGCTCTGTGACTGCATGACTCCTTTTAGGATCACTTGCAGGCCTATCTGAAATGAACAGTGGCCCAAAGGAGCAGTTGTACACAGTGGCTTGCTGCACAGGATTTGTCACATTTATAGTACAAATACCCCTCAAATTTCCATGGGCAAGAAGTTTTTGGGTTTCCAGTGCTGGGAGTAGGAGCTTGCAGTTCCTTGGGCTACTAAGGAGAGGGATTGGTTGACTGCTACCCGGGGTAGGCAGTTTTCTTGCTGTATTTCTGTGTGCAGGAAAACGGAAGCCAGGGTGGACAGGGTTAGCTCAGCAGCAGTACTCATGGGGATGGATGTAGACTGTACTTGGAAGTTACTTTGGCTCACAGTGGCAGGCAGGAACTGAGGAATGATACAAGCTGCTGATCATCCTCTGTCTCTCTGTTCTGTTTGTGGTTTTGCCTCTTTTTCCCCTCTCTCTCCTCAGTTAGTATGTAGATGGAGGGCGGGCATTCTGTGCATTTCCAGTAGCCTTGTTCCTAACTTTGTTCTCAGAGTGCGGCAATGTTAGGAACAGGCCAGTATAGAGAGGAACAGTGGTGGGAGGCTGGGGGTGGGTGGGGCTAAGCCGAGCTTGGCCTTGATACTTTGACTAGCAGTCTTCTAACTCTCTTTCTTCAGGCGTTGTCAATGCTGCTAAATGGTACTCCATTTGCCTTTGTTATTGACCTTGCTGCACTTGCCTCTCGACGGGAATACCTCAAACTAGACAAATGGCTCACAGATAAAATTCGAGAGCATGGGGTAAAGCAGGATTTTCTTAATTATTTCTTCCTTTATCTGTTATTTTGGGTGGTAATGGTTGTCCTGAAGTTCCTGAAGTTTCAGCATGCACTTCTGGGTGTAAACATTCAAATTAATGCTTTTATGGGTTGGATCCAACCAGTTTTTCTGCTGGTGAAAACAGGAGGAGTATGATGTTATCGTTGACCACTAAAAATGGCTGTGCACAGGCCCGTGGGAACTCCACGGAGAAAAGCCATATAGTACAAGAACTGTAGTAAGGAAGGGAGTTGGGTGAGGTTGAGTGAAAAAGCTGGCTGAATCCAACCGATTATTTTTTTTAGTCTTGTTTTTAAAATATTGGTAGGTGTGTGCATCCAACTGAAACTTGGATTTTTCTTCCCTTAGGAACCCTTCATCCAAGCCTGTATGACTTTCCTAAAAAGAAGATGCCCTTCTATCTTGGGTGGCCTTGTCCCAGAGAAAGACCAGCCAAAAAGCGCTCAGCTTCCTCCAGAGACGTTGGCAACTATGTTGGCTTGCTTGCAAGCTTGTGCAGGGTAAGGCAATCATAATTTTAAGCCAGGAGATACGCAATTCAGATCTTTGATGAAACCTGTAACCTTGCTATGGAGAATCAATATTTACCTTTGTAGTCTGATGGGTGGCAGCCTCCCCTCCATCCCTAACAGAAGGATCTTTCCGAACACATGCCCTAGACTGGAAGTCGAACCTGGGCCTTCTGTGTGCAGAGCATGTGTTCTGTCCCTGAGCCAAACCCCTGACAAGCCAATAGATAGGACTTGAATCTGTTTTGCATTGTTGGTAAACTCTCATGATGCCACTGTGCTGGTGATGAAGCTCCTGAGAAACATTAAGTTGTTGTGCGTGGATAGCTGCTGAATCTTCGTCGTGGTCTCTATGCATTCACACCTATGGGTTAAGCGGCTGCGCCTGCTCCGATTTGGAAAACTTCTATCAAGCTCGAAAGGATCTAGAGCCCCGCCTCCGAGCATGCCCGGGGACTCCAACCATGCATGCCCAGAGGGCACCCCCCCCCCCAGTATCCCACCACTTCTTGTCTGACCACTCGATCTGCTTCGGTCTGGGAACTTCTTTGATGTTAGGGACAGTTTTTTCTTTTCTATAGTCCTTTTTTCTTTTCTGCTCACCTTTCTTATCGCTTTCTTTTTACTCGTAAAAAAGAGGGAGGGTGTCAGAACCCACAGAGGGGGAGAGAGAGTTAATTTTGTATTTTTTCTTACAGACTTCGGTCTCTCTCCCCCCCCCCCCCCCCTCTTTTTTCCTCTACTGCTTTGCCCGCCTTCTACAGCAAAGCGGTGAGGGTTTTTCAAGTGCTGTACCCAGTGTGGATCCAAGCTAGCACCACCCGTTGGCCACTCCTTGTGCTTGCTCTGCCTGGGTGAGGCGCATAGGACTGACATCTGTGTCCACTGCACAAAGTTTTCGAATCAGACGTGGAAAAACAGAGCTGCCAGATTTCAAGCAGCTCTCTTAGAATTGGCACTGCGACCAGGGGTGTGATGACTTTTACACCGACTGAGGTAACCACAAAGTCAGCATCAGATGATCAACCTTGATCCACACCGATGGATCGTCATCGATCGACACAGATGGATCGGCCCCAAGCATTGGAATCCTTGGACATCTCCTCCCCCACTGTTGGGCCATCGGCACTGAAGCCGCCCACACCAACCACTTTGTCAGTGTTGTCGACACTGGCGTCAAAGAAAAAGGAGGCAAAGAACCATACTAAGGTGAAGCACAAGGACCTTAAAACTGGCTCGAAGTTCACTCCGATGACTGCAACTTCAAGCTCTATCGTGCAGGCTGATATTCCCCTGCCTCGCTCTGTTTCACCGTATCTGTTTACGGTCCCTGAGATACCGCGTATTATGCTACTCGATCTGCTGATTTGTCGGATAGACTCCCCGGTACACAGACTGATACCGGGCAATTTTCCCTTCTCGGGATCGGAAGTTGAAGAGATCCCTTCCCACCAAATGGCATCCCATTGGAGTTCCAGGTCCTCGGCCTCCGACCGATCTCATTCCTACTCACCCATTTATACTAGTTGTCGACACCGGCGCAGATCCAGGCGCAGATGGGGACCGCTCAACTTCCCACCACAGCAGCCCTCCCCCCAGTCTCATGCCCAATCCCCTTGCTACTGACCTCCCGCTGCCTTCGCCATCCCAATTTCGACCATGATGGTTCCGTGGGACCATAGACAGCTGCAATACCTATATAGCGTATTGCCATTGGCCATGGCATTCCCATGGCTGAACTAGAGTAAGCCGGTGGACTGGGACCAGCGATCAAGTGTCTCCTGCTGTGCCCGCTCTCCTGTTCAGGATCGTAGTACTTCAGAACCAACACTGCCAAAAGCCCGTGAGAACCCATTGATACTGACAGCCCCCTTCATGGAAGGAATCAAGGCCAACTTCACCGAGGTTGACAGTGACACAACCACGACCAACGGTTGCTCCACCACTCCCAATGCAGGTTAACCCACCACACACCTTGTCAGGAGAGGAAGACTTGTCTCACTCCACAGGGAGTGATTCGGATGAGGAGGATTCTGGTGCACCAGCTACCCCTTCGGGCCCCTCTTCTAATCAACAGGTGGTTGAAGATCTTCCTATCTTGCCCTCAGAGGATCTCCGCTCCTATGGAGATTTAATTAAGAGGATGGCTCATTCATTGGGAATTGCCATTTCCCAAACTCAGCATCAATTCACTGACACCGTTTTTGACATTATCCAGCTAGCTACATCGACAACAGTTGCTCTCCCTATGACTCAGGTCTTATTCCAAGCGGCCAAGTCCCACTGGGACAAGTCTGTCTTTCCAAGTCTCTACCAGAAGGCTGGACCACATGTACTAGATCCAAGAGGCAGGAGCAGAATTCTTCTGCTCCCACCCTAAACCTAACTTTTTGGTAGTCAGCCTCTCCATGAAAGGCAAGAAAACACACTCCACCCCTGCTGATAAGGAAAGCAAAAAAGCTGGATGTGTTTGGGAGAAGATTTTACTCAGCAGGCACCCTGGGTGTGAAAATGTCAAATTATATCACCTGTATGGGAGACAGTTCACAATCTCTTAGTGGGGGCACCCTTCCACCTGCCCACACCCACCATCACTCTAACCACAGATGCCTCACTATGGGGATGAGGGGAGCACCTCAACGGCCTTTGTGTGGGATCCGTATGGGAAGCACACCTAAGGGATCCCACATCAATTATTTAGAGCTTCTGGTGATTCAATACACTCTGCAGTCCTTTTTGTAGATGATACAGGGAAAGTCCTGACCGAGAACACTACAGCCATGTCTTATGTGAACAGACAGGCTCTCACCCTTTGGGACTGGTGCCTCAATCACAACTTCTGAATATCAGCAGCACATCTTCCAGGCACTCAAAACAACTGAGCGGACACCCTCAGCAGGGGCGTAGCACAGTTACACAAATGGGAGCTGAACTGGAGGTACCTGCATCCCATTTTTCAACAGTGGTGTCAACCACAGGTGGATGTTTTCGTGACAAGATCGAACTCCATATGTGCCCAATTCTGCTGCAGTGGGGGAACAGGCCCCCTCTCTCTAGGTGACGGTCTCTTAATCCCTCGGAGAGGGAAACCACTCTTCTTCTTTCTACCAATCCTGCTCATCACGAGGGTGTTAAACAAGATCCTATGACACAGGTCAAATTGCATTCTTGTGACTCCTTGGTGGCCAAGACAAACATGGTTCCCACTGCTCCTACTCCTCTCCAACAAGACTTTTCTGCATTTTCCACGTGCGAGAGATTTGCTCCTGACAGTGGAGGGCCAGGTACTCCATCACAATGTGCCCTGCCTCAAACTTACGTCTTGGAGGATATGGGACGAGTTTTCTCCACCAAAGCTGAGACAGTCTTTCTGAATAGCAGAAAGCTCTCAACCAGGTAGTTTTATGTTTATAAATGGCCCACGTTTTTTGCCTTTCTCCAGCCCTATGGGGGCAATACTACCTCAGTTGGCCTCCCCTGTATTTTTTATTTTATTCTTTCTCTTGCAGAGGCTGAACTCAGTCATTCCTCACTCAGAGTTTACTTAGCGGCTATCTTGGCTTTTCACAAAAGATTGGACAACACTACAATCTTTGCCCACTCTGACTCCCAAGAGATTTTTGAAGGGCCTATTGCATCTCTACCCTCTACTTAAACTGCCAACCCCGGCTTGGGACTTGTCTATGGTCATCATCAAGTTTATTGTATTAGCCATTGGCCATAACAAGACTTGTCTATGGTATTACGCAGACTCACTGGCAAGCTCTTTGAACCCATGGGTACGTGTGAGCTGAGATTCTTATAATGGAAAATGGCTTTTCAGTGACAGTTGCATCAGCTGGTAGAGTAAGTGACCTCTTAGCTTTCAGGCACGATACTCCATATTTGTCATTCTTAGCAGATGGCGTGGCATTGACACTGGACATCACCTTTTTCCTAAGGTGGTCTCTGAGTTCCACTTGCACAGGCAAGTCATTCTACCCAACTTTTATCCGAACCCCATGTTGGACGTTGAGCACCTGTGGCATACGCTGGATGTTAAAGAGGGAGCTCCTATTCTGTTTGAACAGAACACGTAGGATTCGCAAAGATCCCACTTATTTCTGTCCTATGCTACGCATTCCTTAGGCCAGAAGATCTCAACTCAGAGGCCATCCAAATGGATTGTCGAGACTATAAAACTGCTATCTCTAAGATAAGAGGCCTCTACCTGTTAGGCCCAGGGCCCATTCCACACATGTGATATCGACCTCCACGGCCTTTCTCAAGGGGATGCCCCTTCAAGACATCTGTCAAGCAGCCTCATGGGTCACCGCGAATATCTTAATCAAAATTACACTCTGGATGTGCGTGCACAGCGTCGTACGGTCATGGGTTGGTCAGTTTTGCAGTCTGGTCGCCTGAGATGCTGCCAGCACCCTCTTCCAGGCAGGTCTGAGCTTGCTAATCTTCCATAGGTGTGATGTATAAAACCATGACGAAGATAAACAGGTTGCTTACCTTTAATTGATTATCTTCGAGTGGTCATCTATGCATTTACACCACCCATCCTCCTTCCCCACTGCTGTCAGTTCCTTTGCTGTTTTCTCCTTTCTTCATTGGGATTGGCAGTGGTCAGAAGGAACTGGTGGGATACTGGGGCCCCACCTTCTGGGCATGCGTGGTTGGAGTCCCCGTGCATGCTCGGAGGCAGGGCTCTGGATCCTTTTGCGCTTGATAGAAGTTTCCCAAACCGGTGCAGGAGCCTAACTCATAGGTGTGAATGCATAGATGACCACTCGAAGATCATCAGTTACAGGTAAGCAACCTGTTTTTATCTTAATTCTGGTTCTTGCCTTCAAAGTACTAAATGGCTTGGGGCCAGGGTACTTGAAGGATTGCCTCCTCCCATATTGTCCTGCCTGCCAATTAAGATCTGCCTCACAAGCCCTGCTTTCTGTGCCCCTGTCTTCACAGGTGAGGCAGGTGGTGACTAGAGACAGGGCATTTAGTAGCTCCTTGCTTTTGAGGTTCACTGGACATGTATGTTGCTTTCTTTTAAGCGCCAGGCCAAAACTGTTGTGTTCACCCAGACCTAACCCAAACCCTAAATCAGGCAACATAACATCAGTGGGTAAGTTCTCTAAGTCAGTGAGCTGCATTGAAGGGCGGGGGGTGGGGGGAATGTTCCATTCCACTGGTAGAAAATTTAGTCTGGCTCCAACCCGGAAAGATTTCACACCCCATAAATAATAAATGACCTGCAAATGAAAAGTTCAGACAGTGAAGGGTTGAGTGAGGGGGTGACAGTTTTTCTTGCTTGTTCAGTTCTGGTCTGGAAGGGCAGGGCATTTGTTCTTCGATGAAGTCAGAAGATTGACCCTACTTTCCAAACAGGAAGTGGTATTGTCTCTGATGTGAAAACTGATCTTGGGACACCAGGAAGAATGCTTATCTACCTTAAGTTAAAATTTCCTCTTTTTTCTCCCTCAGAAGTGTCTCACAAGAGCTGTCGGAAACTATTCTCACCATGGTAGCCAACTGCAGTAACGTCATGAACAAAGCTAGGCAACCACCACCTGGAGTTATGCCCAAAGGACGTCCACCCAGTGCTAGCAGTCTGGATGCCATCTCTCCTGTACAGGTTGGTCAGAAACAGATGGTGGTAGCATAGTGATGGGAGGTGCTGCTTACATCTCTGGAACACAAGTACTCTTGTATGAAGACTCTAAATAGAAAATGCATGAACTAGTAAATGCTTTCTATTTGAATAAATTCCATGTTGGTTTCTTTCCCAAATGATAGCTAGGAACTAGGTAAGAGTGGTTACGAAACAATAAAATAGTTTCACCTGTTCTGGAGCTGAAGTTTAGGTGGTTGGGAGCAATGCTCCCTCTAAGCTGTGGAGTCTTGTGAGCAAAAATTCTACTTTGTGAGCTACTGGCATTAAAGTTGTGAGCAAGTGTTTTAGCTTTTGCATAAATTAGTTTGCTTTGGAGCCATCCTTCCTGAGCTAAGACAAAAATGTGTGAGCTGGAGGCTAAAAAACTGTGAGCTAGCTCACACTAACTCAGCTTAGAGGGAACACTGGTCGGGAGTAGTAAAACAAAGTTAGTTCAAAGCATATACTAAACAAACATTCTTTACATATGTGAATGTTAGACTTTTGAGGCTTAAGCACTGCCTTTGAACCTGATATGTCTTGTTTGTAGCTTCTCGGGCCAAGCAACAGTGCTAGAGCATAAGGACTTGTTATAACTGGGGCGCTTCAGCTCTCAACTGAACTGCTCTTTTAAGAACAAGGTACATTTCAGTTACTCCCTGCCACTCACTACCCCTTCCTCTTCCAGGGAGACGTGCTTTAGCAAATATATTCAGATTAGGACTTTATTGGCTTTTTATCCTTTCTAAAGATTTGTCAGCCTTATTCTGCAAAACTGCAGATTAATGCAGCAATATCTCAACGGTGGAAGCAAAATATGGTTGAGAATAACTGGAGTGGTAGCTAGTAATGGTAGCAAAGCCCTTTAAATTTGGATCATTGAGGGTGTGTCAAGATTCTGGCCAAGCTGTTGTACCAGAGTTGTAGACTCCTAAGCAGATGTTGTACAGCTGAGCAGTTGCATAGTATCCTTATCAGATTAGTACTGTGCAGTACAAACTCGGAGGTTTTATGATGCCATTTTACTTTTATGCTTTTAAAATGCAAATGGAAATATGTTGCCTTATGTACAGCATGATGTTGGAGGATACCTAGAAACCTAGGTAGCAGACCCAAAAATGTACGGGTTGGATGTGCAGTTTCGATATGTAAATTATTAGATTTTTATGGGACTGACCTGAATAAAACGGTCAGCCATTTAATAATTGTGGAAAATACCAAGTTATGGTTGTTCTTAACATGAGTTTTATCCTCAGATCGACCCGCTTGCTGGGATGGCATCTCTTAGTTTAGGTGGTTCAGCGGTCCCTCATACCCAGAGTATGCCTGGTTTTCCTCCAAACCTGGGTTCAGCCTTTAGTACTCCTCAGTCACCAGCAAAAGCATTTCCTCCGCTTTCTACGCAAAACCAGAACACACCTTTTAGTGGAATTGGTGGACTCTCATCACAGCTTCCAGGTACTGTTGTATGAGGGGACTGGAGCTCACGAAAGGGACCCTGCTAATATTTCTGTAGGGCCTGTTCAGGGTACCCGTGTTCTTGCTTTCTAATTTGTCATTGGGTTAACTGTATCCTTTATACAGTTAACTAAATACTTTGTGAAATGTTAAATTGCTGCATCTCAAACGCTTAAGCAGATGAACACCTGCAGGAAAGCAGGGGATTCTACATACTCTGGGGACTCCCTGTCTATGCAGAAAAGTATGACTTAGTAAATTGGATGTGTGTGTTGTACCACTGAGGACTCAGTGTGTCCCAGGAGCATGGAATATTAAGAGCAGAGTCAAGTAAAAGGAAAGCAGTGAGGGGGAGGGGGAGGCAGCCTGTTCAAAGCTTATAGAATAACTGGAGAGCAGGAGTGAGATGTCCATGTTGTTTTTTCCTCATGCAGTTACTCATAGCTCTCTCATCTCCACTTCTGTTATACAAAAGGAATCTGCAGTGTGGCATAATTACTGTCCTGTAGTTTGACTTCTGATATTCATAACTGTCATGGTCCTGTAAAACGGGCAGTAGATGTTTGTCTAGCACACTGCCCTATTGACCCTTGTTCATTTGTGGAGATAAAAAAGGCTAATAACTGCACCTGCACCTACAAAAATGAGACAGTTATTTTGTGTTTGTCCTCAGTTGGTGGTCTTACAACAAGTAGTCTGGGTATAGGAACTGGGGCCCTCAGCCTCCCTGCGGTGAATAATGACCCCTTTGTGCCAAGGAAACTGAGCACATCAGGACTGAACCAGCCTACATTCCAGCAGAGTAAGATGAAACCTTGTAAGTGGTAGTGTTGTCTGATTGTGAAGAGTGACTGTGATGGTGTGTAGCAAATCCGGGTGTCCTTCCCCCCCCCCCCCAGCAGCGACTTCAGCCTGTGTGGTATCTGGTTCTTTTAATTGCTCCCCTTTTGTCCCACTTTGGGAAACTCCAAGTGTCCTAGATGGGGCTTCCAGGCATCCTGACTGGGGCTAACCAGAGTGAAACTTGCCTAGCCTTAACAAGCAGGAATTAGGAACATTTCCAGCACTGTAGCTGGGACTAGTTCTAAATTATTTGAGATCCAAAGCAGCCAACTGAATCAAGTGGTTTGCCAGTATGCATGGAAATCGCTTTTGTAGCAATACTGTGCAGAATTTACGACAACAGTCTCCACTGTTAATCTGCTCCAATTGCTAGCAAAAAAGCCCATCAGGTTGATGGTTGGTGAGTCCCCACCCCCTTCTTGTTTTCTTGCATTCACACTGCTGCTGTGCAAGCGAAGAGTATAGTTGGGCCTGGTTCTTCAAGCCTGCACTCTCTTCACCCTGTTATAACAGCTTCAGATACTGTAATGTGGCATGTAGTAATTGTGGGAAGGGTGTTGCATCCCCTGTTCTGCAACCTGCCTTGGAAATTGGAGAAGCACAGAACCACATCATTCCTCCCCCCCTCCCCCCCATGTCCTGAACATACTCTAGTGTTCTCCAGCGAGAACACTGGTGCCCGCTTCATGGGGACCCATGCTGCTGGTATGTCCTCCTTCCTCTTTGAATGGAATGGACATTTGGTGTATGTGTCCAATAAACAGTTTGTTTTAGTTTACCAGAGTGAGGAATTTGATTAAATTTGATTAAAATATAACTTTGATTATGTAATGTTGATTAAAATGTAACTCATGACAAATATGTTAAAATTACAATAGTGTTATTTAAGTTTTGAAGGGGCTGTGGCTCAGTGGTAGAACATCTGCCTGGTGTGCAGAAAGGTCCTAGGTTCAATCCCCAGCACCTCCAGTTAAAAGGATCAGGTGGTAGGTGATGCGGCAGACTATCTGAGATCCTACAGAGCTGCTGCCAGTCTGAGTAGACAGATCTGACTGAGTACAGAACAGATAAATATTTTGATAACTGCAGCTGTCGTTTTAAACTAATTGTAGTGAGAAGACAGTGTTGGGTTCTCGAACAAGGCTGAGGCTGATTTCAGTGTTAGAATTGCTGTTGACATATTAAAGTGCATGTGACAACTTTTACTGAAACCTTGCCAGCATCTGGGGGCTGACCACTTTTCGTTCTACTTTCCATGATTTTTCAGCATTTGGATTTTATAGCTAACTAGGAATAAGGCCTGTTGTGGAAATAAATACAACGGGATCTAGAAAGAGGCTCTGGGAGAGTGCTCTGGCTTTGGGCAAACAGTGTCAATTTGCTGTGGCGACCTCAGCAGGGTATAATGACAGAGTCCACTGTTTTCTCCAGAGGAACTGATCTCTGCTACCTGAAGAGCAGTTGTAATTTTGAGTGACCTCTAGCCCTCACCTGGAGATTGGCAACAATTGTTACCCAGGACGAAATGGCTGGTTTGGAGGGTGGAGTCTATGGCATTCTACCTGTCTGAGGTCCCACCCCTCCGCAAACCCCACCCTCTCCAGGCTCCACCCCTGAAATCCCCAGGAATTTGCCAGCCTGGAGGTGGCAACCCCATCTCCTTCCCAGCTAACTATCAACCTACCATTATCTGCCCCTTTGACTTCAGCTGACTTCTGCCCTCCCTTCTGCAGAGCAGTTGTAATTTCCAGTGGTCTCCAGCCCTCACCTGGAGATTGGCAACAATGGTTCCCTATGTGGGACTGACTGGTTTGGAGGGTGGAGTCTATGGCAGTGTACCTGTCTGAGGTCCCACCCCTCCTCAAACCTCACCCTCTTCAGGCTCCATCCCTCAAATCTCCAGGAATTTCCCATCTGGAGTTGGCAACCCTATCAGGACTGGCCCCAATGTGTTTTCTCCCAAAGGCCAAAGTAGGTGACAGGACCAAGCTTAGATGCCTACCAACAGGCACTGAGGGGAAAGTAGGATTGCCAGCTCTAAGGAGGGAAATACCTGGAGGTTTGGGGGGTGGATGCTGTAGAGGGC